AGAGGCCATGATGACTGTTCAGTGTAGACCGTTTTATTTGCCACGGAAGCAAACAGTAGTTACCATCACTGCTGTATACTTACCTCCAGATGCTAATGTCAGCATGGCACTCAGTCACCTTCAAGACATAATTACCACGCAACAGTGAGCTCATCCTGAGGGTGTTCACATCATTGCTGGGGATTTCAACAGAGCATGCCTAAAAACCGTGCTCCCCAAACTTTACCAACATTTTAAGTGCCCAACCAGGGGAAAAAACACACTTGATCATGTGTATTCAAATATTAAGCATGCTTATAGAGCAAAACCTCTTCCCCACTTAGGACAATCGGACCATTTCACCCTGCTTTTACTACCAGCCTACACTCCCCTTAGGAAAAGAACAAAAACTAGCAGTCAAACTATTAGATGCTTGCCTGAAAATGCCCTCTCCCAGCTTCAGGACTGCATCCTCAAACAACAGGACTTCGAGTTATACACAGAGACTGTGCTTTTCTACATGAAGGCCTGTGTAGAAAATGTCACTGTGGACAAATGCATACGGACCTTCCCAAACAGGAAACCCTGGGTGACCAGCAAAGTCCAGACTCTGATCAGGGCCCGTGATCTGGCTTTTAGAGCAGGTGACATCTCACAGTACAGCACTGCCAGAGCTGAGCTGAGAAGGGGCATCAGACATGCTAAGGAGATGTATAGGAGAAAGGTTGAGGGCCACTTTATTGACAGTGACCCATGGCAGATGTGGAGGGGGATACAGGCCCTGACCAACTATAAAGGCCAGGACCCAACAAACAGCGAGAGCAGTAGCACTCTGGCAGAGGAGCTAAACAGCTTTTTCGCACGCTTTGAGACCACCAAGAACCTGGACATACTGCCTCACGAGGACCATGACGCTGCACCTCTTTCTCTTCAGGTGCATGAGGTGAGAAAAATACTGAGAGCAGTAAATCCCAGGAAAACTGTTGGGCCTGATGGCATTCCTGGTGCAGTAATTAAAGCATGTGCTGACCAGTTGGCAGAAATACTTACAGAGCTGTTCAATCTATCTTTAACACATGCCATCATCCCACAATGCCTGAAGGCTGCAACCATCATCCCCATTCCCCAAAAAACAAATATAAACACTCTCAATGACTATAGGCCTATAGTGTTAACAAGCTCCATTATGAAGGTTTTTGAGCGACTAGTTGCACAGCACATCAGAGACTGCCTCCCGCCCTCCTTTGATCAACATCAGTTTGCTTATAGAGCAAACCGATCTACAGAGGATGCTGTGGCCATCACACTTCATAGAGCGCTGAGTCATCTGGAGAACAAACAGAGCTATGTGAGGATGCTCTTTGTGGACTACAGCTCTGCGTTTAACACTATCATCCCAGATATACTAGTAACCAAACTGTATAATCTGCAGGTCCCCACCCCCACGTGCTCCTGGATTAAGAACTTTTTGACAAACAGACCACAGTCTGTTAGACTTGGTCCCCACCTTTCTTCCACTATTACACTCAGTACTGGTTCCCCCCAGGGTTGTGTTTTGAGCCCCCTGCTATATGCCTTGTATACCTTTGACTGCTCACCAAGCCATGCAACAAACACCATCATAAAGTTTGCGGATGACACGACCGTGATTGGTCTCATCTCCGGAGAGGATGAGATGGCATATAGGGCAGAAGTAGAGAACCTGTCTATCTGGTGTTCACAGAACAATCTGTCACTGAATGTCCATAAAACCAAAGAACTGATTAGGGACTTCAGGAAACATAGACAGGACCACGCCCCGCTCATCATCAATGGAGAACAAGTGGAAACTGTCCCTACAATCAGATTCCTTGGCATCCATATTTCAGCTGATATCTCCTGGTCCCCGAACACCAAGGTCATATTGAAGAAGGCTCAGCAGCGGCTACCCTTCCTGTGGGTTCTCAGGAAGAACAATCTGGATAAGAAGCTGTTGCTGGCTTTCTATAAAGCCTCTGTGGAGAGCACTCTGACATATTGTCTGGGTGTGTGGTATGCAGGCTCCACAGTTGAGGACAGGAAAACTGTACAGAGGGGAATAAACACAGCTCAAAAGATCATTGGTTGCCCTCTGCCCTCCCTGGAAGACGTAGCCAGGTCCTGCTGCCAAAGCAGAATCAAGGCCATTATAGAAGACCCCTCACACCCTGGCAATTATCTTTTTGACCTGCTGCCATCTGGACGGTATTTTAGGTCAATAACATCCTACGCCACTAGACTAACAAATAGTTTCTTTCCCTGGGCCATTCGAACTGCAATTAAAGACGAAGTCACTACCTCATTAAGATGTGAAAAGATGTGAATTCTCAATACCCCATTCAGATGTATAATAACATATTACAGTACAATCCATCTCTTGTGTATTATACTCAGCTAAGCGTTACAGTCAGTGTTGGATGTAAATTTTGTGTATATTCATAGATATTGTACTCTCAAATTGCAAATGGAGACGTGGGTACTCTATCTTTCTTATCTTCATTTTTAAGTGCTTTGGTTTTATTGTATTGCGAACAGTTGCTGGGGTGCATCCACAGTTTCGTTGTACTTGTACAATGACAATAAAGTTCTTCTAATCTTCTAATTCTAATCAAATTATTTTACATGCTTTCCCCTCCTGCATAGATTAGATCAAATTTAATACATGAATTATTCCTGAAGTATAGTGTCTGGGAGATTTACTTATTAATAAAAGAGAATGTTTGTAGCTCAAGGTTGAAACCAGGGTTCCTTGGTGCTCTCTGAATTTGGTTATTTTCTTGCAGATGTTTCATTCCCAAACTAGGTTTATCATCATCAGTGCCGATGATGTTACCTTGTTTGGGTAATGAAACATCTGCAAGAAAGCAATAAACTTCAGGGAGCACTAAGGACCTCTCAGATTTGCCTATATTTTGGAACTGCCCATGATGCAAAGATACCCTAGTCATAGGAATTCATTCCTATCATTTTAAAAATGAAGATAGTGAAGATTTATTCCTTATCATTTTTAAAAAATGCTTTTGGAATCTAACCTTAAAAGCCAGAAGTTACTTATTTGAATCAGAGAATATGTCATAAGAACTGGGTGTTTTCAAACTGGATTTTACACCAGTAGGAAAAGTATAAGCTTCCACTACTGTTAGAATAATCCATAGTCTACCTTCTATTAGTTGCCTTAGTAATGAATTTTCTTCTGTGTCTTATAGAATTAAATGAACTTTTCCCTCCTCCTCTTCTTATGTTTTTTTTTAATACTTGTAAACCTGAAAAGGGACCCAAGTTATTGCTGATTTTGCTAACCTCACTTGGAGAATTTTTGACTAAAGAGCAAGATAAAAGTGTATACATGCATCCATCCATCTACAAATAAATTTGGTGTTGGAAAAGTGCTTTGCAAAAATAATGATTTTATTGGGAGGGTGAAGGAAAATCTACACATTACACAGTCTTTTAATTCTACAGGAATGTTGATTACCCAGAAAATAAATGGTAGGCGTAGATGATCCTCACATTTAAAATCAATGAATGGCACTCCCCTTTTTCTATTCCTGTAATTAAGTAATACAATTTTCAGTACACAGAAAAAGAAAACAAATTTTATATAATTAATCCAAAGTGCAAAGAGGGATGTGCTCAGAAAAAATTATGAAACCCTTATTTTCTGAAATGTCTGAAAATAACATTGATTAAAAATATTTTACCCATAACTCATTCTTTCTCTCCTCTCTCTTTCATTCCCTACCCCCACCTGGTTCCATACTTTTGGCTTATAAATAGATATCCCTTTCTCAGAATAAATAGAAAAGGGTCCTCTGGGTGAAAAGAAAAGGAGAAATTGGAGAGGGTTTCAGAAATCATTCAGTAGAAGGAATCTTTAGTTCTTTGTGAAAGTAAAGATGATACCCCAACACACAATATAGTCAGTCAGTCAGTCAAAAACCTAGTGCAGAAAAACAGTTCTGGCCTCCTTGCTTTACCATGTTCTGCATGAATATCCTTCCTGGATTTCCACAAAAGTTTTTCACATTTCTTAGGCATACTGTCAAAAAGGATTCTAATGTTGGCAAGTTCCACAAGAGGGAGAGGCCAAATCCTACTTAACCACTCATAGTGAATGTTTTGCCAAATTCTACCCTGTAAGACAAAACTGTTCTTTAATCACATATTCTTTTCCCGAAAAAGGGAAGGAAAAGTTCATGCTTTCTGATAGGAAAGGTTTATTTGTCATAAGAAAATAGTACCACTACTATGTCTCATCATCTGTTCAAATGCCCCTTTGAATGGAAATATTGAATATTAATACTTAAGTTGTTTCTATTACTTCTTAACATCAGAAAACACAGGAACTCCTGCAGAGTTTAATTGTGTTTGTCTTTGGCTTTGTTTTCATTATTGATTTATTTTTATACACATTTCTCTTTGAGCTGTCCTTTCAAGTTCTTGAGCCAATTTGCTGTGAAGAAACTTTGCTTGACCCCAATCAACATTGTTTTTTCAAGGCTTTTAAACCCTTTTTTTTCCTTCATCTCAAGGTCAACCTTGATCTCCACAACTATTATTTTCAAATCTCCTGCTCTGTCTCTTCCCTCAGCTGCTCTTGCTTCCTCAGGTTTTCTTCCCTTCAAATCATTTTTTTTAAATTTTTAAAAATGTGATTTCAAGCTCATTGTTCAATCTGTTTCAGTGGTTACACTTTCATGTCTCAGAAAGCAAATTTTAAAAGTAGAAAAATCTATAGTGAATCTAAGGTTTTAGTTCTTTCTCCATTCATTTTCTTATATGGCTAAAAGAAACAATTTGGAAACATTTTTTTCTTTTGATTAATTACAGTTTTCATTTTATATGAACAAAAAAACTTATTAATATTAACTGGGTGACCAGTTAGAATACATTTTCATTATCATAATTTGATCATGATTTCAAACTTGCATCTTATAAAAATTGTAATATTTTGCTTTCTTTCTCCTCCCCTCCCCTTCCTTTCCCTTTTCTTTCTTCCACAGAAGTTTTGATGTTGGATTACATAAGTTCCTTATCAGGTAAGTCAAAATGTTTTGTTATATTACTCCTGATTTTAAGGCCTACAGCCCAATGAGTTATTCCTTTTTAAAATCATACTACCTAGATGGTTTGTAGTACTGTTGGAGTGATCCAGTAATATTGAGTTCTGTTTCATTGATTTGATTTTACTACTTCCCAACTCCAAATGACTCTGCTAAAGTTATGGAGGGATTTCCTATTTAACAAATAGGATGAATTAAAATGCAAGATTTTATGAGCAGACCTGTGCTCCCTCCAACCTCAAAAATGGTTCTGGTGGCATGAAGAATGCTCTGAGTAAACTTTCAAAGTTCTTGACATTGACTTTTTCCTAGGCCCCCATTCTGCTAAAAGAAGGGTTTATTGAGTAGAAACATTTCACCCTCTATGTCAAGAAACATGTAGAATGATTTAGTATTAGAACTAGAAAACAGGATCTGAATGCAAATTGTTTAGCATTCTCTACTAGACAGCAAATTAATTTATAGGCTCTAACAATACAATTCTGAGACCATGATTTACTTATTTAAACTTTATTTGATGCTAAATACACAATTTCATTGTGTATAGAATGTATAGAAAAGTGATTTTCCCTCAATATAAATAAAACTTCTCACAGAAGTGAATATATGTAGCTCAGGATTGAACTATAGAGTCCTTGGTGCTCTCTGAGCTTGCTTTCTTGCAGACATTTCATTGCACAACTAGGTAACATCATCAATGCATTATGATGTTATCAATCCATGAGACATTTCATTTGTGTAATGAAATGTCTAAAAAGCAGACAACCAAGCTCAGAGTTCACCAAGGACTGTACAGCAATAACTTCTCAGTTTTCTAGAAAAGGGGCACCAACCTTTTGGACCTCAGGGACCACCAAACTCATAATTTTAAATCCCGCAGACCACTAATATGAATTTTGACTGATGGTGGCCTGCTGACGTTGGTGGGAAAATCAGTCCCATATTCCAGAGCTGCAGTAGTCACTGGTGCTTTGGTCATCCCAGAGCAGCTGCTCCTCCACCTGAGTGCACTGGCCTGCCATAGACTGGAGGAGCTACTCGGGAATGACCAAAGGGCCAGTCTTCATTAGCCTTGTGTTCCCATGAAGCTTGGATTAATTGCTTTGGGGGGAGTGCTTGGGGAGGGACATTTCTTTGTAGACCGCCAAAATTTTCTCGTGGACCACCAGTGGTCCCCAGCCCACCAGTTGGCAACCACTGTTCTAGAAGATGGGGCAAAAAGAAAAATAAGTAATTATGGCCAAATTAGGTCTCTTAGTTCATTTAATATTTATTAGTCAAGTAAAACAAATATGACATGAAAGCATTAGTAGGCAACTGGATGACAGTAAAAAAACTGGATACATTATTAAATGATATACCTAGAGATATTAATATGCTAAATAAGGAGATAGATACCTGAGAGAATCCCTGATATTTTGCTGTTTCATTAAACTGCAGTATGGGAAGACATTTTGCTAATGAGAAGAGAGATTGGTGATTTGCAATCTTGCTTCTGTTCGCATTATTGTCATTATACCTTCATGATAATGGGATTTGTGGGAATACTTTCATCAGGAAAGAAGACACTTCATTGTTCTGATGTGTAAGAGGTTGGCATGATTGCAAAGTTGTTTTTTTCCCATCAGAGATTCATATGCAAATATTCTTTTAAAAAAATCCCCGAAACAAGTTACAGATTTAAGAACTTGTTTCAAAGTTATTTGCTCACTTATTGCTTTTTGTAAGCACAATTTTTCTGTTTGTAGAAAAAAGAGGCAGGATATGTTTTTCTTTTGCACTTTCTTCATCTGGAAAATGATGGTGTACTTTGTATGTTTTATTGTAAGACTACAAGATAAAGCACCTGTTTCATCAGACTTTATTTTTCTTAAATATAGTTCACATTTACATGTTTATAATATAGAGGATATAGTGTATATTTTGCTATGATGTAACAACCAGTGGTTAAGTGTGCTAATGTTAATTAATACAACAGTTTATATCAGTTCAGTGAATATGGGTGGGATCACAGCTCTTGGGTGCTTTTATTTTGTGGAAAGTGTTGGATAATTCTGTAAGTATATGAGAAAATAACTCTGGACATATTTTGGCTTAAGAACACCGTAACAGGTAGTAGATTGTGACTAATCAGAATGATAATGTCTCTCACTTATAAAAATGGGGCAATATCTGAATGAAATAAATGTTAAGACTTGTGTGGTATCTAGCAAACCTTTGGGCCTATAATAATCTCTTTAGCAATATTTAGTTCTTATTTTTCCAGTGTTCTGTATAATTGCCTGCATACAACCATTACTTCCTGCTAACTGTTCACATACTCATGCAGATACCTAGCCAGCATTGTCCTATCCAGCTGACCAGAGAAACTGAGATTAGGAGTTAATTGCATTTTCCATTGGAAAATATTTGCATAGAAGAAGGAAGGGCTCTTGGACTGACTTTGGGACTGATGTCTTAAAGGTGAGAAACCCATCAAAGAGGTGTATAATGGCTAATATGTCATCACAATACAAAAAGATGTTGAGACTCTGGAAAGAGTGTAGAGAAGAGCAACAAAAATGATTATCGTGAAATGAAAAAGAGAAATAAGGGAGACATGATAGCAGTGCTCCAATATTTGAGGGGCTGCTATAAAGATGAGGGGGTCAAACTATTTTCCAAAGCACCAAAAGGCAAGATAGAATGCAATTTACTCCTAGTCAGTACAATGAGGACCCAGATTGTTGGGGGCAATATGCTGACTCGGTAAAGCGCTTAGAGAGGTAGTAAAATACTGTGAAGCAGTATATAAGTCTAAGTGCTATTACTGTTGTTAAATAAGATGGATCTACACAACAGTAACTGGTGTAAATTGATGGCTTTGAGAAAGCACATAGATGACAGGTAAACCTAAATGGAGGACTGCTAAAAGTTTGGTTTATTCTGGGATGTTGGTTTGAGAGGAGTCTAAAACCTCCAGAGCACAGTCTGGAGAAGTGGAGAAACAAAGAGGCTTTGAGACCCTTTACAATGCATCCAAGGTGCTCAAAAAAGCCTTTACATCCTATAACTATACAGCAAGGCTCACCTTAAATCCTGGCCCCATATCAAGTTTTTAAAGCTTTTCAGTGCATTTCTAAATAAATATATACGGGATGCTTGTGATAATGGTAGAGGTATGTTGTCTGGGAGTGTGAATGTACTTTTGTATGCAGAAGTCACTGGGTTGGCTGAGAATCTGAATGCTATTCATTGAATACTGGGTTATATGATGCAGTGACATGGAACAGAAATGTATTAAAGACAAATACAATTGTAAGTGATAGAGTAAATAGACTGCATAATTGCAAGTTACACATAAAATAGAGCAAGTAGATATGTCCAATAGAGTGTTTATATAAAGGAGGAAATGAAATTTTAAAACAGGAAATATTGGTGGAAAGATGGTGGGTAATTTGTGGTCTGTTGCAAAGAATGATGAAAGATGGTAAAATGGCTGTGTCTATTTCCTTCCTTATGGAAGTGTAAGAGTTACAAGTGTCAGGAGAAATGTAAACAATGTGATGGAGTAGGAACCGGCTACTTAAGTATGTGATAAACCATAAGAGATAGGGTGAAGAACACCTGGGTGCTGAAAGATCCTTTGCTGAATATGAAGGTGAATGAACCAATGGAAAGAAATACATTACTGTGCCTTGTACCTATGAAGAGAATGAATGAGGATCAAAACTCAAAACAAACCATTGAAGAAGGGCAAATAAGTCAAGAGGAAATGGAAGAGTGAGAAAGTCATGGCTACATAGAGCTGAAGAGATCCTGAAAAAAGGAAGAAATGAAATGTTTAACAAACAAGAAGCAGTGTAAAAAGCAATGCACTGGTGTGATGGAGACAGAAGTGCTTTGCCAGGATAGAAAGATATAGGAAATAATGTTGCATGGTGTTGCTAGAAATTAATTTTATCTATGTTCCTTTTTCTTCCTGCATGATTTTAATTTTGTTGGTTTACTATTTCATATGCTTTTCTGAATTTTGGAGAATTTGGTTTATCCAAAAGGTCATAATATTATGGGTATACATATATTGTAATATGCAAATACTCATTCATGCAACCATTCAGTTGTCTGCCACAATCAATTTCCTCACGTTGACAGCTAACCATCCTTTGCCAGGATGGCAGATACCCACTACTGATTGATTGATAAGTATACCTCCTTCCCTCCCTTCCTGTGTGTGTGTGTGTGTGTGTTTGAACTTGCTGTTGGTTTTTTCTCAGAAAGTTTCTGAAAATCAATTTATTATAAGCATCTTGCGCTAGATACTTATGTTTGCTATGTTTTGTTCTTGCATAAATAATGCACACAGACAGTTTCCTGGTATGACTGAAGTTCCCAAAGATGTAAAAAAAAAAAAAAAAAAACTGGTTTCACAAGGTAATTATGTTAAAAATTTGAATTATTCATTTTTTTTTAAACAAAAATCTATCATGCTGTCACATGCAACCTTGTTGTTCCCAGTGATATGTTTTAATATTTTAGATGATGATTTTGCATTTGTTCACTAATCTGGATTATGAATCAGATGTTTGCAGAATGCAGAATGAATGCAGCACTGCTATGACATGGGTATCCCGAAACAATTCACGGAGTCCACTTTTTATGCACTGTTTTCTTACATTTACAACTACTTTAATAATGAAGTATCCAATGATGCTTTTTTGCCCATTTGCTGCCTGTCACTATGTTTGTTTCCCTTTAAATGTCAAAAGGAAAAAAATAGCAGTTTTCTTAACTGCTTCGTTGTCTTTGTTACTGAATATGAATATTATAGCTGCAGATAAAGGTATGAGTTAGCCTGTAGAAAAAATAAAAGAAATTATATGGAAAGTACTTCCCCCCCGCCCCCTTAGCCATTCAAGCTGGAAGATTCAAAGGGGAGCCTGTTATCCTATTTGGACATTCTTTGTGTTTGAGATTGGCATTCCCACTTGGTCCTG